CAATCATCCGCGGTTTGATGCCAACCATGAAGATTGGAGAGCCTGTCCCAATATTGCTCACATGGACATGGGTATTTCAATAATCTTAGCAAACACATATGCGAGGTTAAGTAACGAACCTCAAAGTTTGTGGTGTTTTTGGAAGAAATGTTGCTATCCTTGATGTTGAGTGGAGTTGGAAATTTTCAGTGGTACTATTTGGTAATGAAATATTTTTGTGGTGTTCGTAGAATTTTTCCAAGATTAAAACAGAAGTTGTGGAAGGTTAGACGGTGCAAGCCTAGCCAATTCTATTGGTAAGTTCAATGGAGAAATACTCCATCGGTCAAAATGTTTTCATCAAGATGCTATTGACCTTACTTGGGTAAAAGGGGGAGAAAATCCAATAGTTTTTCATGTGCAAGTTTTTCAAACTACTAAATGGTGTATTTCTTTAAAAAAAACAATTGGAAAATTACTTTAAAAAATTACATTAATTCATTCTCAAGTTTCAAATAGCTAATACTCAATTAATTTTACTCTAATGTTCACCTCGTTCTACGTATTTGCTCAATCTTTTTCTTTTTCCTGCTCTTAAACACATCCTAAATTTTTGTGGTTGTAGTAGTGAAGTGAGCAACAACAAAAATCAGCTCAGCCGAGCAAGCCCTTAATATATTAGTTTATGCAAACCGTACTTTATTCACCCTATAAATGGATTATATTTTATCATTCACCTTAGTAACAAAAACTAAAATTCAATTTTCACCTTTTTTAAAAAAATAAGCGGTCCATGACTTGCGTGCACCCTAAAATTGTCTCCGCTAATAATATTACCACACGAGAAATTTGTTGTTATACATTTGTGAACATCCTTACTTCTTCACCAATCTTTTAAATAAAAATGTGAGTCTTACGTAAGAGCAATTGATATTATTCGATTTCAATGTTTTTTCATCATGTTTTTTTCATTATTTATTTACAATTCGCTAAAATACATATATAAAAATTTTACTTATAAATTACTCTTAGGTTGCACCGTTCATTTTTCATAGCTTATGAGCCATTACTTTGCTTAATATCCTTTCCTTTAAGCAATATCAGCTGTCGTGTGTCGCTTTTGATAAGCACATATCACACAAATGGCATTCTGGGATGTCAACCACAAATCAGTATTACACCGGTGTACACGCCTCTCGTGCCTAACCAAAGTAAACGCCAATCGCTGTACACCGTACATGCACACACACGGCATATACGCGGTACACACACATGCAGGCGCTTGTCAACCAGACAACCTTGCTCTGCCTACGTACGTACGTGCAGCGCCTCACCAACAACCCACGAGAGATTTGAGAGGGCAAACCGAACCAAAACCAAAAGGAGGGAAAGCTACGTGCGCCCGGCCGCGCGCGAGCGCGTACGTGCATATTGTGGCTCTCGCTCGTACGTGCGCGCCACACGTTGGCATCGGCAACAAAAGCGGTTCGGACGGACTCGCGCGCAGGTCAACGAATCCGATTCCTAAGAGCAAGTTTAATAGTATAGCCCACTATAAGCTCCAATTCATCTATAACCAATCTAATAGCCAATTCATACAATAATTGCTTAATATACTATTAATATATGGTCTCATCTGTCATATACACACTGCGCCTTGGAGTCTATGCTGCAGCTGGCTACAGATCTGTAGCCCGCTCCTCTTCTCTCTCATCTTTTATCTCATTAAAATATGTTTATAGTCTGCTATTGTATCTGCTCTAACACCACACCACACACACAGGCACAAGCTTGTGTAGAAGTCGCTGTAGCCGAGCCGGGCCTTTTCTGTGCGCTCACGCGCTGCTCGTGCTGTCTGTCGCCTGAATGCAAATGTCAAAGGTAGGGGGGAACGAATTGAAGGAAAAGCCTTTTTCTACGCCTCGTGGTCTCGAATATTTTTGTCTAGCAATAATACAACCAGCAGACTGATTCCGGCCAGAATTTGGAGAATTTAAAGTACAAATATTGAGTTGATTAGTTAATTAGGCAAAAGGTTTGTTTTGGAGAAAACTTTTACTCACCGGCGAAGAAAGTTTCATTACAGAGTAGAATATTGTTAGCTTATGGGAAAGCGTAGGATGATGAAGCTTCATTACAGCTGGTAGGAAACATAGACAAATGAAATCTGGATTAACAAATTAAGTTGGGTGCACGATTAGGTTTGACATGCTTTGTTTAACTTGCACATGATGATTCCTACCAGTTTAATAGGGATGAAGCCGATGGAGTCAACGGATGATATCTCATCCAAAGTTTTTATAGTTGTGAGAAAGTCTTAATCCTCTTCCGTAATATCGTAAGGAATTTCCAACAAAGCCGGGGTAAGACGTGTGTGAACGGATGCAAAGTTGACTCTCTGTTATTCTACTATATATGCGAATATTTTAATAGTTGGATATGTTTATTCTGCATTTAATAATTGGATATATTAGCAACTAACAAAGTTGAGCTCCAAATCCTAGGCTAAACATTAAATATTTTAGTTTTTATTTATAAATATATGTTTATATATGTATACATTTCTATAGTACTATTTTCCAATTTAAATAACATAGTATGTCTCTCCTAATCCCCTTATGTATTATTGCATTGTTGGACCTGATACTTTCTCGTGACATTCTGGAGGTATCACAGTAATTTTACCTTAAAATTCATCTATTCTTTGACTCCGATAAATATTTATATCTGTGGATAGAGAATTTACTACACAGAAGTAAGATGACCTAAAATATGATTTTTTTTCCTTATTTCCGTTGCTACTCTACAGAAGTCTACAACTTCTACGCACATTATACAATCCTTATTTCGAAATTTGATATGCATGCGCTAAAATCTGAATCCTGTTAACTGGCAATATTCGTTCTTCGGGCCGTTTTGGTTTGATACCAAAAACATACCCTACCAATTTATTGGCAAATTGAATAGTATGTGTGTTATTTTGGATTGAAGCCAAATATTTGGTAGTGCCCTTATACTATTTGGTCATTTTCTAGAAGTTTCTTCACTGTACTATGAGAATTTGACTTTATATTGGTAGCAATCCAAATGGTAGCAAAATAATTTTACCCTACCAATATTTTGGTAGTGCCAAAGTTTGCCTAGACTTTAGCACTACCAATAAATTGGTAGGGTAGAGAACCAAACAAGCCCTTCAGGTCCACGACCCGTTTAAGCAGAAAGCCAAAGCGGAAAAGCAATCGCTACCTCGGAGCTAACGCCTCGTTTACCTCTTCAAACACCCGGAGGGCCCACCTCTCAACGGTCAAACACCGCGAATCGGACGGACCAGCTTACCACCATATTTGTCCGGGCCCCATGCAAGGCAGACGAGAAAAACGAGAAAAAGACGAGTTGCTTGCTCGGTTGCTGCGATGACTTCTTCACATCGTTGAGTATTTTTAGCCCCTCTCTCTCTCTATTCTTTCTAGAAAGAGGAGTATTGCTTTTGCTAGCGTAGTATACCCGGCTTCCTCAACCCCAACTTGTGTCTCGAATTGAAATGATGCAGACCATCAGGATGAAATCTCAAGGCGGCAAAATCTTTTGAGTTAATTTGTTCAATACAAGCCCTGTACCTTTATTTTCATTGATTTTTCAATTAAAAATAGATTTTAGTTTGATTTTCATCAGAACACAGTTTTCAACTCAGAGGCTCTCTTCAGAAGATGCCCCCACTCCCCCAGTTTCATATAAAAAACATGTGGTGTAAACAACCATTTATCCTTTGCATTTCAAGAATGCAAATTGATGTAAATTATTTTATGAATATTTATTTTTGAAGAAGAAATGTATCTTCAAATATTTTTCCATATATTGTTTCTTTTTCTTTTGTAAATTGGCACATTTTGCCCACCGGAGAATTTGTTAGTGTGAATACGTGCTGACGAATTTAGTGTAAGATGTACAAGCTGTGGATTTTCAACTTTGCATTTGATATTTGTTCCTACGTGAGAACGCACTGCGTTGGTAAAAGATTATATATTTATTAATTGATATATCGATTGTCAGCAACATCTTGCAGATATCAAAATGAGCCATCTGGCCACTTGTCACGCTATTATAAAGAGGTTAATAAAAGCACATAGTAATAATTATATGCAAAACAGTTCAACTCCTGATCCCCTCAGATATGCCAGCTCTCAGACAATCCGTCAACGGGATAAAAAAAGAGAAAGGAGGGAGGTGGCGAAAGTTCTCAAAGTAGGCGTGCCAATGCCTCTATCTGTTATTCAATGAAAAATTAAAGATGCAATATCTTCAAAGATATACTAATAAGGAATAAATAATGCTCCTTTTTATCATGCATCACCTTTCTAATTAAAAAATAAAACACACTCATTATTATTCCCAGAACCTCACCCCTCTCCATAGTTGACTTCCAAGGCAAGACAGATGAGATATGCATTTGTTTCTCTCTCAGCTAGCAATAAAGGCTTTAAAAAATGAATTTTCTTCTTATCTCCAAAGTCCACTATCTGATGGCAAAAGAAAGATGTCATTGTCACACCCCCCATACTGACTCTTTTACACATAAGGCCTGGGATTTCCTCAGTTTTTTTTTGTATTGCAATAAGATTTTTTTTAAAAAATATATATTTTGAAACAGGAGCTTTTTTATTCTCTGGATGCCATATTTTTTACAGTTAAAAAAAACGCTCTGTCACTGTTCACTTTGTATAATTTGGCCTGATATCTACTACCACTACTACTACAGTTTGAATTCAACATGCAAGCATATAGATTTGAGTTGCTTTTGTCTATGCAGTTTGGTGAAGCTATACTTTTTACAGAAATTTTAGAGCTATGTTTTGAATGCACAGTTCCTATAAAAAATGTGCACTGGCGTAGTATCACTTTGCCAAAGGGGACATATATCACGAATTCCGATGGAATCCAAGGTGCTTTGCGAAAAAAAGTCACAGCCCTCATTGACTCGCATCTTCTTCCACTTCTCCCCCATTTCCACCTATAAAGGCAGCCATGGCTTCCAGCCACACACCTCCATCCTCCCAACCCAAACCGAGCGCAGCGCACGGACCGAGATCTGCGCCCGGCAGCGGCGGCGAACTCCGGTGAACCAACCATGGCCGTGGACCTGATGGGCTGCTACGCCCCGCGCCGCGCAGACGACCAGCTCGCCATCCAGGAGGCGGCCACCGCCGGCCTCCGCAGCCTGGAGATGCTCGTGTCGTCCCTCTCCTCCTCCTCTCAGGCCGCCGGGGCTCACAAGGCCTCGCCGCAGCAGCAGCCGTTCGGCGAGATCGCCGACCAGGCCGTCTCCAAGTTCCGCAAGGTCATCTCCATCCTCGACCGCACCGGCCACGCCCGCTTCCGCCGCGGCCCGGTCGAGTCGTCTGCTCCCGCCGCCCCCGTCGCTGCTGCTCCCCCTCCTCCTCCTCCACCACCGGCGCCGGTCGCTGCCGCCCTCGCGCCGACCTCCTCGCAGCCGCAGACCCTGACGCTGGACTTCACGAAGCCGAACCTGACCATGTCGGCCGCGACGTCCGTGACATCCACGTCGTTCTTCTCGTCGGTGACGGCCGGCGAGGGAAGCGTTTCCAAGGGCCGGAGCCTGCTCTCCTCCGGCAAGCCGCCGCTGTCTGGGCACAAGCGGAAGCCCTGCGCCGGCGGCCACTCCGAGGCCACCGCCAACGGCGGCCGCTGCCACTGCTCCAAGAGAAGGTAAACAAACTCCCACGCCACTTCACTTCTCGAACGCCTCGAGCAACAATTTCCTCTCTATTTCGTGTCACCTTCTCACGGTGGATTGGATTCCGTGTGCTTCCGCAGGAAGAACCGGGTGAAGAGGACGATCCGAGTGCCGGCAATCAGCTCGAAGATCGCCGACATCCCGCCGGACGAATACTCGTGGAGGAAGTACGGCCAGAAACCCATCAAGGGCTCCCCTTACCCACGGTAAATCTCTTCCTCCTGCTTGAACACGAAATTCTCCCAAGAAATTCATCGCGGTTTGCAACGAACCTGACGTGTTCTGCGATTCGATTTTCAGGGGCTACTACAAGTGCAGCACAGTGAGAGGATGCCCCGCGCGGAAGCACGTGGAGCGCGCCACCGACGACCCGGCGATGCTGGTCGTGACCTACGAGGGCGAGCACCGCCACACGCCGGGGCCCCTCCCGGCGCCACCCGCCGCCGCCGCCGTCGCCGCGATGCCGGTGTCCGTCGCCGTGTCCACCGGCAACGGACATGTCTAACCTAATTAGCTCCATAATTTTTTTCTTCCTTTTTTTTTAGTTGCTTCTCATCAATCTAATGATGCGTGTAAAGAAGAAAAGATTGTAGAAAGAGGACGAGGGAAACTTGATGCTAGAGAATTACCGTCTCCAGTTCGTTCTCAAATCACAATTAACCGTGATAAAAAAATCACAATTAACTCCACTTAATACTCTTTTACTCCTGCAAATAAGCAACTAGTACGACGTTGCAGTGGATTGAAGGCAAAGAGAGGCAGGAGTTGACAGGAGTTGACAGGAAACCGATCTGTCGCCTCCGGTGTAAATCCGCTCTTGACTTTCAGACCCCGATTAGATTACATTTCTTATCGTTTTACGCGCATGATCCGGGACTTGCCGGAGAAATTTCTTCCGTCACCGAGCCGTATACGACACAAAAGGAAATTGAAGTCACCAACAACTATCAGTACCATATCTTCTCGACCCGGTTAATAACGACGGATTACTTTGACTCCCATTGATTGATTAAACCATTATCACAAAAAAAAACACACAAAATGCAGAAGTGCCAGCCAACCACTCCAGCTATAGACTATTTAGCGTACAGAAAAGATTAAGGAGTAGAGGAAGAAAAGAACAAGGAGTCATACATTGCGATTAAACAAATGGGCAATAATTCATTCACTCATCCCCCCTTTTGTCCGGTGGCGCTGCCCTGTGCAGAGGTCAAGGGGGGTGGGCACCCAAATTTTGCGCCTCTCCTTTATTCCGCGCCACCCCCCCTCTCTCTCTCTCTCCGACGGGTGGGCCCCACGTGATTGGCTCCCGGTCAAAGAAGGTGACCGGTGAAGGGTCGCTTTCTCTCCGCTGCACCCCGTAGTTGACCGCACCTCATCACTCACCCCATAGAGTACTCCTCTTCTGCTTTTACTTTGAGATTTTTTTTTCGGTTTCTGGCCTTAAAGTGGGGGGCGTGTGTGGGGCCCACTCGCCACTGAGAAAAAAAAAAGGTGGGGGCCCTCAGTGTTTTTATTTTAATTATTTTTTCAACTCCTCGGTTGGCTCGCCCGCCTGCCTCTTTTGTTGTTGTTTGTGGAGGAGCCGAGCCGAGCCGAGCCGAGCATTCATCCGTTGACTTCCGAAGCCGTGCGGCGCGGCGGAGGTAGAGGAGAGTAGCTCACGTAGGAGAATTCGCTTCTAGGCTACGCGTGGCTCATGGGGTCTACGCTCTACAGTACCGTCGCGAGTGATGGTAGGTTGGTTCAGTTCATTCAACGTACTCTAGTGCTGTCTGATGATATAGGGGACCAAACTTAAAATGAAAATAAAAACAATTCTACTCTAGTGATAACAGTAGTAACTTTGTAATGCAATGTTTCCAAAGTGTGCAGGTGCAAATGATAAAGAGAGACTAATTGGGTAGCTCATTTACTAGCTAAATTAACCATGAGTATGAATCCTGGACTTATTGAACCAGTAATGTAATCCCAGTTTCTATCATTAATAAATTTCTCTCTTTACTGTCAGAAAAGATGGTAACTCTGTAATTCATTATCTAAGTATATTAAAGGCAGTAACTGCTAATATGCTCTTCTTACAAAAAAGTCCACTTGTATCAAGAGAAAAACAATAATAAGATTTCTCCAAGTCTCAGACAGCACATTATGTGCGTAATTTGCACGGTTCATGCTCCCTTTCACCTTTGGAGCACTTCGGCTGGATCTGTGCTCAGCTCCACTAGCATCGATGCACACACAATAAAAATTGCAAGTTGTTTATAGAAGCTGCCCCTCTACTCAATTGGCAATTTTACCTTTGCGCATGCATATATAGTGGCCATTGAGTTACATATCCAAGACTACTGTCACAAGTCAATGAAGCTAGAATATACAAATATTGTGAGGTCTTTGCCCTAGCAAGCAATTGAGCTATAGATTGTAAAAAACATTGCTGTTACTTTTATTTGAAGCTAACTAGAGAACATGGCCGGTGGAGGAGAAGGGAGAGTTGGACAGCTAGAACATTCTTTGCATCTACCCCACTTTTAGCCTAACCCATTCTGAAATCCCATTTCTTTAGTCCTGGTAATCCCTGTGTTGAGCTGATCTACTATAGTTCCCTTCCTCGATCAGATCAACCAAAGCAAGGCACATTTCTCCCTCACTCTCACTCTCACACCCCTGGGTGAGCTGTCCTAGTGGACTTCCATCATGGGCTTGGTGTGACCTAAAGCTTAGCTAGAGTGTGTGATGAGCTACTAGTGATCATCTTTTTTAAGTATTGCAAGCTTAACAAGATCTCATGTAAGGAAGCAATATAGTAGTGGCAGTTAGGTTTGATGCCACATCTATCTATCAATCAACCAAAACGTTAGTAGTACGTACGCTTTTTGTGGAGTTTGCAATTGTAATGTTCTGGCTTGTCTGGTCATAGCTTTTGCTTGTGTCTGCAGTGTGGTGAGCCACTTTGCACTGTGGCTGACATGTGAGTAGCAACTCATCTGGTCCTTAATCGCGTCAGTATGTAGATCGGGTGGTTTATGCGCTCATGGCACCATAACTAATGCAAACAAGAGAGAATGGGGTGGGAAAGGGGGTGCTATCTTCATAGTGGAGATGGAATTGTTAAAAGTTGGGGGCAAGTAGAATATTTGGACTTTTGGTGGTCTTCTCTCAACCAAAGCTCACCATCGAGATGGCGTTAATTAGTTATTATTACTTCGTATTAGTACTACTAATTGTCTAGAGGCCACATGATTTGACTAATCACCACTGTTTTTGGTGCCTAGCACGGGTGACCTATCTGCCCAACGACTTGTAATTGGTCGTTTATTTCCACGGGCCCGTGACGGAGTGCGAACGATTGGACCAAATCGAGGTGATTTCCATCCTAACACTATTGTATTACTAGTAGTTGTTTTGGATCATTTGGCAAGGGGGACAAATCGCATTTTATTTCTCTTTTGGAGATTAGTAGCAGTAGCGAAAGGGGTCAGCAGACAAGTCGCATAGGATGGTGCCCCACCTGGCGAACAAGTTGCACGTTGTTTAGTCTCTGCTGGCCATGTTCTCTTTCGTGGATTCGGATCTCTCCGGCCTCGAGGTTTAGGTCAAACGGCACCGGTCGAGCCTGAGCCTGTTTTTTGTGTGACAGCAACTGCCCGATTGACAATGCAGCCATCGGCGGATGTCAAAGCAGGCGAGAAGATGTGAACCCCGCGGTTTTCTTGACTGGTTCCAAGTGCCCTTGTTCCAATTGATACTTCTGAATTGTTTAATTTGAAACCATCAAACGGTCCACGACCACGAGCGTGCCTCGTCCGTAGTAGCAGCGTTGAAGTAGGCAAGGTGAAAGAAGTACTGAATCGTGTGTGTCTTTTCCGCTGTAGCAAGTGCCCGAGACGGGCCGAGGAGAAAACGTCAGTTCGACACAGCTGGTTGCCAAGACCAACACGGGTTTGGACGCCTCGGCAGTCGGCACCACGGCACAACGCGCTCGCAGCAGCGGGGGCGCGCGGCCGCGGGGAGATTTTGTCGCGTGGTCCGCCGGTGTAGAGAGGGGGACGTGGGCCGCAATGCGTGCGGTGGCGGGATTGTGGCGGTCAGCCTGCTCGCTGGAGGGAGAGGAGGACATGCGGCCTGGCGGGGAGGGGACGCGGGCCGTTGCGTGTAGCGTTGCCGGCCACGAGATGGCTGCGCGCGGAAGGGTTAAATTGGCCCATAATGATGTGTTGCGCGTACTGGGCTATAGACGACGCGCTGGGCATAACAGCATAAGGCCTGAGGTTCACCAAGCAGGCTGTGCTAGGCAGCAGAAAAGTGGCTGGGCTTCTCCAATGAGCCTGAGATTTTCCGGTCCAGTTGATAACACGGCCCGTTGTAACACTAGATTCACGGATCGCAGTTCTAACATTGGCCTTTTCACATTACTGCTAAAATGAACGTTTACAAAATTTGGTAATGCTGTTCTTTTTGTAAGTTGGTAATATTGTCAAAGTTTGATAGAATAGGCTGTCAAAATTCTCTAAGCATTACCATTCCCATCTGTTTGGTAACATACTAAATGCATCCAAATGTTTATCAATGTTTATCCAAATGTTATTTTGAGTATGGTTCAAAATAACACTAATCTGAACATGCTTTTTTGAAAAAGTTAGAGATTTACTTCATCAGATGGAAAACATTACTACCATCTCTGATGCATCAAAATTTGGCACCTTAAAAACATACCATCTTGGACAGCTTGGACTTCTGTAAATCTATCTATTTCAATCCAAGATTTCAACAAACTTGAGTAGATCTATGTCTGATAACATACATAACTTATGTTTCTCCCGTTTCTCCCGTAAACAAAACACCGTAAATCTATATACTCCCAACGTCCCAATATATCTGACATTATCTAGATTTGTTATATTATGAAATGCCACATTTGATATTAGGTACATTTATATTAGGACGGAGGCCGTGCCACTCGTAATACATACCCAGTCGGCTAAGGCTCTCCACAGTTCAGTAATTCAAGTTACGCACGATATGAACTTATTCGAGAAAAAATTGGGGAAAACATACAGTAGAATTTTGTATCAGGAAACAGTAACAAATTCACAACCATGCTGTCCTTGCTTCCCCTTCGCTTGCCGTTCTCCGCAGCCGCGACGCATCCAAACTCCACTTTCCTCCTCCAACGCGCCGTTAGGCTTCCCATCCTCCCGATCTCACCGCGAGCCAGCATGAGCGCCACCGCCGCCACGCCGGATTCCTCGGCTTCCGCCGCCGCCGCCGCCGTTGGCGGGGAAGTGGGGAAGGAGGCGGAGGATGTGGTGGTGCAGTACGTGGTGCTTCGGCGCGACCTGGCGGACGCGTGGCCGCTGGGGAGCGTGGTGGCGCAGGGGTGCCACGCCGCCGTTGCCGCCGTGTGGGCGCACCGCGACCACCCGGACACTGCCGCCTACTGCGGGCCAGACAACCTCGACCGGATGCACAAGGCGTGTTCGACGTTTTGCCTCACAGAAACTCATCGCTCCTGTTTTCACACTCCCTCTATTAAACTGCTGCATTGCCTCTTGTTACATAGGTGTAGAACTGACTGATTATAGTGATTTAGAATGCTAAATGGCTAAATGATTCATTCATTACAGAGAGTACTGATACTGTAACCTGTCCCAGTAGTTTCTTGCGAAGCCGGATTCAACTCATGCCTCTGGAATAGTGTAATTTTGACAATTGATTTTTGTTCCGGCTACAAGATGTATCCCGAGCGAAAAAACAACTGCACTAGTACCTACTACTTTTATCCTGCATCGTTTACATTCTGTTATATGTGGCATCAATAGCTGTGCTGAGAGCCTTTTTTGTGTATAGGTAACACTGGAGGTGAAAGGAGAGACACAACTGAAGAACCTGGCTGAGAAGCTGGAAACCGCTGGTGTCCGGCACAAGGTGTGGATAGAGCAGCCAGAGAACATACCAACTTGCATAGCGACTGCGCCGTGCCCAAAGTCACAGGTTTCTTCATTCTTCAAGAAGCTCAAGCTTTGTAAATGAGCCACTATTTAGGATCCTCAAAATTCAAAACTTTGCAAGCAATCTGTCTTTTCATTACTGGTTTTATCGTCAAAGGTTGGCATTAGAAGTCACACCAGATACTGCAGCCATGTACTGTCTATACCTGTTCCATTTTTGGATTTATTGATCGTGCATGTTTTTGCCATGGGACCATGGTGGCGGGTTGATGAAGCAATCAGTGAGAAATTGACATTTTTGTTCTGAGATGACTTTGGGCCATTCTTTGATTAACATAGATGTGTCGAATAGGTAGAAACTTAGAATTGATGAAAGCAACATATGATTTCAGGCACACATATCGATTGGAGACCCATATATTCTTTATCCACCAGTTAGTTGAATAGTGCTGAAACATGTTGCTTGGACGATAGTTTGCAGGTCCTACTGATATTGCAGTTATATACAACGTTGTCCAATCTGTGCATCCCGTACAAACTGTATAACACTGACGTTAGGAGGTCTTACAGATAGGGGAGGTTTGGGCTCCTTTGGAACAAGGGATTTTCATTGGAAATTTGTAGGATTGAAACCCCATAAGAATTTTTTTTCCTATAGTGCCCTTCGGTTTGAAGGATTGGGCTAGAAAATTTCCATAGGAATGTTTCCCTTCCTACACATTTTTGAGGATTTCTAACATGAGCTCAAACCTCATTGTTTTGATTTCCTTTGAGAAGTCCAATGCTCTACCTCTCTTCAATTCTTCATCTCTCCTCTTAACTTTGTTCTAATGAAATTTTTCCTAGAAAGTTCCTGTGGAGGATCCAAGCGGTTCATTTGACGAATTCATATGTTTTCAATTCCTGTAGAGTTGTATATGTCATGACATTAAATTCCTGCATTTTTGTTTTTCGATCCCTGCATTTTTCCTATTGTTGTAAGCTAGAAATGTCCTGCTTCAGTCCGGCGAAAAGAAATGTCCTGCTTCTGGTAGGTAACCCATTTCACCCGCTATGCCGCAACGGTATGCTTCTTACTTTGTTTCTCTGCAATATGATCTTCTTAAATATGCAAATCTTTGATTTTATCAAAATGAGCAGGAAATACTAATCAAACTTTGGGACCACTCCATCTGGAGGACACCATTACCCAGAACACTGCATCAGTGGTGCTTAACAAACAGACATGGAAGAAAATTACCCTTGTTATGTACATCAATGCTCTAGATTGTACTACAGCATTTTTTACGTCAAACAAAAATTGTAGAGCTATATACTGTATGCGAAGCTACAAACCTCTTCATGAGAACATATACACACCTTGCAGCAGCGGTAGCAGCTAGCAGCAGCAGCATCATCATATCTATCCTAATTAAGTACGAGAGCATGACATCATCTGAAGTACACCCCTGAAGCAAACAGGCAACCAGTACACAGAGTAGGCAGAGGCGGATCGGATCGGCCATATCAACAATGCTTGGGCGAATTCCTCCGCGGCGAGAAGAGGCGGCGCGGCGAGAGCATGGTGAGGAACCTCGGCGAGGCGATGCCGTTGAGCGACCGGTAGTCCGACATGAGGAGGCCCTCCGTGTTCTCGTGCACCCTGGTGCGCCCGGGCGTCATCCTCGCCGTGAAGGTGCTGTACTTGACCAGCTTGGGCAGCCACGCCTTCTTCTTCCTCTTGCCGTCGCCGCCGTTCATCCTCGCGGTGAGGTAGGCGCGCATGGCGTCCAGGCCCTGCTCCACGACGTCCATGGGCGGGGACACCAGCGGGTTGCCGACGGCGCTGAACCTGGCGAGCTTGGTGAGGCAGCCCATGGAGTCCGGGAGCGCGGCGATGGAGTTGTAGCTGACGTCGAGCTCCCGGAGCGAGGCGAGGAGGCCGACGGCGTAGGGGAGCTCCCGGAGGAACTGGAAGTTCTGGCTGACGTTGAGCGCCTCGAGGTTGGCGAGGTTCTCGAGCCCGTCGGGGAGCGCGCGGAGGCAGTTGAGCCGGGCGTCCAGCGCCCTGAGCGCCGTCATGTGCGACGTCGAGGAGGGGAGCTGCGCCAGCTTGTTGGAGTTCACCGACAGCTTCCGGAGGCTGTGCAGCTCGAACCCCAGCGTGTCCGGCAGCTTCGTCAGCTCGTTGAAGTTGGCGTGCAGCTCCTCCAGCGCACTGCCACACGTCAATTCAAAAAACTAACATTAGTAAACACCGTTTTAACATCAAGCATTTCTATGTACTGAATTAGAAATACTTAGTACTCCCTCTGTTTCATATTATAAGGCTTTTTAGCATTACCGACATTCATATAAATGTTAATATAAATGTTGATGAACTTAAACACATATATATGTCTAGATTCATTAACATATATATCAATGCTAGAAATCTATTATATAATTAAAGGAATAGAAAAAGAAGCCTTCACGTTCGCTCTCATGGCTTAGAAATTCTCACATTAATCAGAGAAAAAGAAAAAACAGAGTCCATATAGAAATACAATTTAGAAATAGCTAAAATCTGGAATTAAAAATTAAAAAATAAGGAATATTAGAAGAGGAGACTAGAGTCCATATAGAAATACACTTTAGAAATAGTTGAAATTCGGAATTAAAAATAAGGAATATTATAAGAAGAGTATAGAGTCCATATAGAAATACAATTAGGAAATAATAGAAATTCGGAACTAAAAATAAGGAATATTAGAAGTAGAGTATAGAGTCCATATAGAAATACAATTAGGAAATAATAGAAATTTTGAATTAAAAATAAGGAATATTAGAAGTAGAGTATAGAGTCCATATAGAAATATAATTAAGAAAAAAAATAGAAATTTCGGAATTAAAAAATAAGAAATATTAGAAGTAGAGTATAGAGTCCTTATAGGAATTTAAAACTAACTAAAATTCAGAAAAAAAAGGAGCCTCCACGTTCGCTCTCATGACCTAGAAATTCTCACATTAATCAGAGAAAAAGAAAAGGCAGAGTCCATATAGTAATACAATTTAGAAATAGCTGAAATTCATAATTAAAAAATAAGGAATATTAAAAGAGGAGACTAGAGTCTATATAGAAATACAATTTAAAAATAGTTGAAATTCGGAATTAAAAAATAAGGAATATTAGAAGAGGAGACTAGAGTCCATATAGAAATACAATTTAGAAATAGTTGAAATTAGGAATTAAGAAATAAGGAATATTAGAAGAGGAGACTAGAGTCCATATAGAAATACAATTAGGAAATAACTAAAATTCGGAATTAAAAATAAGAAATATTAGAAGTAGAGTATAGAGTCCATATAGAAATACAATTAGGAAATAACCGAAATTCGAAATTAAAAATAAGAAATATTAGAAGTAGAGTATAGAGTCCATATAGAAATACAATTAAGAAAAAAAAAAGAAATTTGGAATTAAAAATAAGGAATATTAGAAGTAGAGTATAAAGTTTATATTGGAATTTAAAACCAACTAAAATTCAGAATAAAAAGGAGCCTCCACGTTCGCTCTCATGGCCTAGAAATTCTTACATTAATCAGAGAAAAAAAAAAGCATAGTCCATATAGAAATACAATTTAGAAATAGCTGAAATTCAGAATTTAAAAATAAGAAATATTAGAAGAGGAGACTAGAGTAGTTATTACACATTAGTAGTTTTGAAAAGTTATTGCAAAATTTAAAATTATGTTGTTATTGTAATATATTTTAATAATATAATGAGAAAAATATGTGCTATTATATGAGAGAAAATATAATGATGCTAGCCGCGCAATCTGCGCGGGCCACCATGCTAGTTATTATAATATAAAACAGAGGAAGTATGTTTTAGAACGAGACAAGTAAGGATTGAGATCCCCTGACTTATCAGTTAACTTTAGAGTCACTGGCATATGAATCCATAGTAAAAATGACCCACATATCAGTGTCTTAAATTCATGTGACTTAAGTCGGAGAATATCAATCCGTAGTTGATTGGTATGTAGGAGAGGCGGCGGTGGCTCACCGGCACTCCTCGATGGTGTTGGGGAGGGACTCGAGCAGGTTGCCGGAGACGTTGAGGACCTTGAGCTTGGAGAGGCAGCCGATGGAGTTGGGCAGCGATTTCAGCTGGTTGGACCGCACGTCCAGCACCACCACGTTCAGCAGCCGAGCGATTATTGACTCCGGGATGCTCTGCGGTTTTCCAAAACGGAAGGAAATTTAAGTCTCGTATAAAGATCGGATTTTTTTTTACTTTCTCCGAAGTTTTGTCAACTGTAAAAAAAGGTTAGTACAACCAGAGCATACGCACAATTAATCTGCATGTTCTTTTTTGCCGGTACAGTACTGCAGGCAGTACCATTTCTCCCACCAAGTCAAACAGATAGAGAGATAAGTTTGCAACTTGCAGGTATTTTCGTCTTTAATACCGTTCATCCCATAATAAAACTTAAAGTTCATCCTACTGGTATACGTATGCATGGTTTCAGAATATTCTTGGCTCTTACAAAGCCATCACTTATTTGATATTTTTCGTCCTAGAAAATGACAAAATTAAGGAGGACAAGCCAAACGGCAAAAAAACAAGAGATTGTGAAGAGGGATGCATGGCTAGTTAGGCTCATGTAGTATTAATAATATAGGCCATGCTTATCTCATACAGCTCGACTTAACTTATCACCAAGATATAAAACTACCGTACACCGTTTGAAGATAAGTTCTTGCTGGTTATCCATTACTATAATACTCTGAATAGATAGACAAAGAAGCATGTGATCTAGCTAGCTTCCAGATCAAAAGTAGTAGTAATAAAATTAAACCACGTATATATGAAATCTACCTCAAGATTGTTGTTAGAGAGATCCAAGATGGTGACTTGACCAAGAGACATGGTGAGGTGTGGGAGGGCATCCATGGACATGCCACTCATGTCTAGCTTATGCTCCTCGTTCTTCTTCTCCTCATGATCATGCAACCCTCCTGCAAAACCAGCAGGGTTAAGGTGTCCACGCCTCCTCTTCTCTCCCATTTCCCTCATGCTTCCAATCTTCTTCTCCACTTCTGATATACCTAGACAAAGGGACAAGAAAATGATGCATTAGTAAGGTAGGAGAGAAGAAACATCAGCAATAATTAGCACATCACTGTACATCTCACAATTATGTGAGCCCAAGCCAAAGAGGCATGCTTCTGATTATTGCTAGGATTGGGACATACGGCCAGTACACAGCCATATTGACAAGGGAACATAAGGGGTGACCACCATTAATTGCATGTTGCAGTCAGAATAAACAACATGACTAAGATAAAAAGAGTTTGGTGAGAGAGAGAACGAGCTTAGAGAGCGTACGTACAAAGTGGAACAATAATGCATGTGGGTACGGTGAAGTGGAAGGGATAGAAAAAGATTAATTGTTTTTAACTGAACTATTTCTTGTTCTAGCTAGGTTATAATTAACCCTAGGCATATTAGCTAGGCAACCCTCTCATAATCTAGCTAGAACAACGTTATATATATAGTACGGAGTAGCTTACATCATTTTGTTAGCTCCTGTAAAAGAAATCATATGCTAGATACCCCTCGAGATGGGTTATCAAGAACAAGAAACTGGACACAAGTTCTTGACAGAAAACCTCTCTACATCGCCAAAGACAGCGTTGAAACCAAGATTAGAAGAGCACACAGCTAACTAAAGAAGGATATTACTCATTAAAAATAGCCTGCACTAGCAAGGGAGAGGACGAGGGTATTTAAGTTCTCTTTCTGACTTTCTGTGTGTCTATTTTTTAAACAAAAACATTCAAAGCCAGAATACTTGTATCAAGAAACCAAGTAAAATGGTATTATTATTTTTTGAACGGAAGTAAAATGGTACTCCCTCCGTTTCGAAATGTTTGACACCGTTGACTTTTTAGCACATATTTAACCGTTCATCTTATTCAAAAACTTTTGTGAAATATGTAAAATTATATGCCTGCATGAAAATATATTTAACAATGAATCAAATGATAGGAAAAGAATTAATAATTACTTAAATTTTTTGAATAAGACGAACGGTCAAACATGTGCTTAAAATGTCAACGGCGTCAAACATTTCGAAACGGAGGGAGTATTATAGTAGAGCTAGAAACCACTACAGCTAGAATCACCGCAAGCAAAATGGCGGAAAACAACGAGCTACCGAGAACATGAATCCTTAGCAGGAGAAACCCCGGAAAACCGACACAAAAGATTAGCAGTATCTCGCGCGCTCCCTCATCGCAAGAAATCCAGGAGAGAAAACCAGTAGCTAGCTAGCTAGCCTCATACCAAATTACCCCCAAAAACAAGAGGAAAAAAAAAAAACCTTCAACAAGATCACTCTAGCGGCCGCATGCAAATACTCCGGAAAAAACCACCAAACGAACTGAGCACGAAGCAGCAGAAAAGCAAAAGCAAAGCTCTCACCTGGTCAGGCTCAAGAGAGTTCTTCAATTCAGAGCATGCAGCACGCAACACGGCTTGAGGCAACGAGGTCTCGGCAAAGCTGAGGAGGAAGAAGGCGCGGGATGTATGGTGTGGTAGCCCTTGCAGCGAGGAGAAGCCCTGATATATAGTAGCTAACGCGAGAGGTGGAGAGACGACGATCCGAGGCTGGCTGCTGCAAACTGATCGATCGATCGGCGCAACCGCAACCGATGGATCCAACAGCTGAGCTGACCCGATGACCCTTTCCACACGGTACGGATGCGCCGTGCAGCTTAGCCAGCTTGATCTTCTTTTCTTTTTCCCCTTGAGAAAGCCAGGTTGATCATTAGTACTATATCGGCTGGTTTTATATTTTTTATTTTTGAATAAAAAAATGTAAGTTGATTTATAAAAGTTCACTGAATTTTTAGTACTAGTAGTGGTGTAGTGGTGGGGCCCACGCCTGCAGGTAGTACTGCAGGTCGCGGCCGCCGGTACGGCCGTACGTACCCACCCCCACCTCTCTCAACGGCTGACTTGCTCGGTTTGTTTTGGAAGGTCAAATATAATGCATTGGGTAACGTAAGTTGAAGAAGCCAAGGAGAGATGCTGCAGGCGACACACCAATAAGGGTCACCGCTTGATAATAATCACCCCTTCATGAACCGGAGGGCTAGCTGATCTGATTAGTGGGAATGTAGGATATGAGATGGATTTCAAAATATATATGTTCCGTACGTCAGTTGCGCAATCGATTTATATTGAGTTAAGTCGTCTAATGAGTTAAATCTGTTGTTGAAATTTTTGTAAATATTTTCTCCATTCTCTTTTATTTGACGTCAAATTTAAAAGAAAAAAATAACCTAAAATCGGATAAGACATTCTGGACAGACAAACTGTCTAGATTCACAGTAAAATGTCTCATCCGGTTCTAGATTCTTATATTATATTTTTGAATGGATGAAGTATTATTCAAGATTTTAGGCCACTCAGGTTTTTGGTTTTTGAATGTTGGTAGCTCAGAGAGTCGTGCTTGAACCATGGTATCTATATGACTTCTTTTTCCACATAAATTGTTTTTCTAGTGACAATTAATTCTTTTAAACTGGAGGAAGTGTGTAAATCTATTATATTATTAAAGGAATAGAAAAAGGAGCCTCCACGTTCGCTCTCATGGTCTAGAAATTCTCATATTAATTGGAGAAAAAGAAAAGGCAGAGTCCATATAGAAATATAATTTAGAAATAGTTGAGAAAGAAAATAGAAATTCAGAATTAAAAAAATAAGGAATATTAGAAGTAGAGTATAGAGTCCATATAGGAATTTAAAACTAACTAAAATTTAGAATAAACATGATAAAATCAAAAGTAGAGTTTAGAGTCCACATAAAATACAATTTACAAATAACAAAAATTCGAAATTAAGAAAAACATGGGAAGAAGAGTTTAAAATCAATATAGGAATGCAATTTAGAAGTAACTGAAATTCGAAATTAAAAATTAGTTTAGAGTCCACATAGAAATACAATTAGAAATAATAAAAATTCAGAAATAAAAATAAATAATATTGGAAGAAGATCATAGAATCTATATAGAAATACAATTTATAAAAAATTCGGAATTCAAAAAAAAGAAATACTAAAAAATGAGTCAATATATATAATTTACAAATAACTAAAATTTGATATTAAAAATAATTAATAACTAACACGTATATAAAATACAATATGAATATTACACATTAGTAGTTTTGTAAAGTTATTACAAAATTTAAAATTATGTTGTCATTTTAATATATTTGAATAATATAATGAGAAAACATACTATATGCTATTATATGAGAGAAAATATAATGATAATAGCCGCGCGATCTACGCGGGCCACCATGCTAGTTATATACTAATATGCATAATTATATTATGAGTATCTAAGTGTTCCTCACATCATGTTGTATCGTGAGTTCCTGAACACAAACCTCTATTCCATCAGCCGGTTTCCATCGGCTCGGTGAACAAAATGTGCATACTTATAACTAAATGTTTTAATATATATTTTTAGAATATCCTTAGTGGAAATTGTCTGTTGGGTTTTAATGCGAAGAGTTCGCCTGTTCAAGATTTTTTTTGTCTTGAAAAAAAAATCTGTTGTTTTTTTTTTAGAAACAGAAGGATAGTGATCAAAAGAAGTTGGCAATTGGCATCTTTATCATAAAGTGATGAATTCTACAGTGATAGGCGGATCGATGCCAACGGCAAATAATGTAATGCCCAATCGGACTATTTTCGGTTTTGAAAAAAATATTTGGCTAACTGATCGATGAGATTTAGCTCTTTCGGTGCAGTCTCTAACATGAGTAATTGGCTGGTGTTGACAGAGCTAGCTGGCTTTGTCTGCATTTGGTTGTTCTTATGGATATCCCTGAATTGCACGTAGCAATTATGTAAAAGGCTAAAATCTCCTGCAGATTCGTATACCTAAATTAAACTAGCATAAATTAGACCTATATATATTGTGGTGTTGAGAGGGGTCAGCTCGTTCATATGTAAGTAAGCGTGGTTAAAATTTAGCTGAAACTCGTAACGTGGCGACATCCATCTTACTTGTACAATAAGCAAGTACTTCCAGCGTCTGACTTTTTTTGCCATCAAAATATATGAATATACAAGCTGTACTACTCCAATAAAAACACAGGAAAAAAACTATACATGAAACGCTAGCTGATGATCAAAATACTAATGAGAGAAAATTCTAGTGTACTTGTTTTTCAATAGATAATAAGTATGGACAAGGATTTATCACTAGCCTCCATCTCTTTTATACTGTTACATCCGTATTTAAATATGACACTTTTCACTTTATCAAGTCGTTGGCATGCAACTTTTAACCACTATTTTTATGTTAGAATAAAGTGGTAATATAATGTCTAATAAAATTGTAATGTTGTAAAAGTATTTACAAAGAAAACTCTACCACATTTTTTTATTTTCAAACTAAATAATTTTAGAGCTATTGATGATCAAAGTTTCAAATGAATGAATAAAGTCATCAATGTCATATTTAAAGACGGAGGTAACATGTGTTAAGTGGCACACGTACTCATACGTGTGCGTCTTCTTTACAATTAAAAGAACATAAAAGGATTAAGATGAATGAAATTGTACAGTTCCTGTGAAAACTACTTAAGTTTCTGTTCAGGGCTTAATTAAGCGTTTTTATGCTTTATCACCCTGAAAGCTCGATTAGAAAGGTGAGACTTGACCTGTTGGCTTCATTAAGCACTAAGCAAGCTATATGCATGTACCCTGAAGTACATCTACAGCACAAAGTCTTGAGAGCTATGCATGGCCTTAATAACGAGCTCCATTACAGTACTATATTATATTGCAAGCTACTTGCAGATGGTACTATATTATCTGGGCCTGTGATGTGGCCTATCCTCCATCAAAATGACGGAAATTAAGGGAAACCACAATTGATGTTTCAGTCTAAACAAACGGCTAGCTAAGTCAAGGTCAGTACTGCCCCTGCCGAGAGGGGAGGACATACGTGCAGAGTCTGAATCATCTGAAAATTCCATGAACTGATTGTGCCTGCTAGTACTTGCAGCAGGCATGCACCATGTTTTACACAAAGGCATGCACTTTATTGAAAAAAATGGAGCTTAATTAAGGTCAATACTAGCTTGTGCAGTTTAACTGTTCAACATATTTATCTGATCTTTTCAGGCAGATTGACTATCCCTTTCTGTTTTTTCTTCTTGCCGAATGGCTGTCTGTCTAGATTGTTCACCTTTTCTCTAGAGCATTGTAGTTAGCTTGACACAAAATTTCGATCAATTTATTGGCCATTTGGCTTCAATAATTAATAAATTGTGAAAAAAGGTCAGCGTCAGAGGTCCACACTACAGTATTGTGATGCAGACGGTGTAGTTGACATACAGCTTCAGGTTGATCATCCTTCCTTGAACTACATAATTCTTCAAAGCTTCGGATAAAATTTCACCCGACTAACAGTTTTTTTTTTCACAGGACTGATTATTCAGAGATATTGTACTGCACGTCGCGACGACAGCTAGAACCCACTTCCACAATCTTCATCCGTAAAAAATGATAGAAACTCGTCCATGCTCAATGCACATATATAATTCAATTACTTTAAGAAAGAAAGGTTTATTTCATCTTCCTTTTTTGCATGGACTAATAACTAGCTTGTCTATATATACAAAAGGAAAACAACTTGCATGATGAAACCAGCTAGTTGAAATAATTAAAAGAAAATCAGTGGACAGGATTGGACTGAATTTAAAACGTGCCATTTGAGACAAGGAATAGTTACGATATACAGTCCAGTAAAAAACATACGACATTGTTAATTATGTACTCCCTCCGTTTCAAAATGTTTGACACAGTTGACTTTTTATTACGTGTTCGACCATTCGTCTTATTTAAAAAATTTAAGTAATTATTTATTCTTTTCATATCATTTGATTCGTTGTTAAATATACTTTCATGTACACATATAGTTTTACATATTTCATAATTTTTTTTGAATAAGACGAATGGTTAAACATGTGCTAAAAAATTAACGGTGTCAAACATTTTAAAATGGAGGAAGTATTATCTTCGCTGCTTAAGTCAGCCGCCCATGTGGTTGGACTAATTAATCCAGGTTATAACGAACGGACGATAAGCATATGCTCTAGTGATAAGATGGTGGTACAAGTCATTGTACCGGCCCACAGTCCAACCTGGACACTACTACACAACTGCTTCAGTTAACAAGCAATCTAATTAATTAGTTCGACCTATATTAAATTTCTGTTAATGTAGTAAATTACCCACTGGCAAGCTGAAAATCTATTGACTGTAAGATTCGTTCATGCATCCATTGCAACTGACAGCCGCATTTCTTCTCATGATTGAAAAGGTGTCAAGAAAGATGAAATTATCCTCCTACGCAAGTGCACTATCTGTAACTCATTAATTACAGTAAATATCTTGGAACACAAGTGCCCAACTTTAAATTTGTTGGACCGTATGCTAGCTCCCCGGAAATTTCCATAACTTCATTAATTTCAGGTTTCAAGGTATACCTATGGACAACTAGCAGTGTGTAGATCGATGATCCTAGTATTTGACAAGTGAGCAAACAGCAAACAAACAGACAAAACGAGAAGATCTTAGATAAAACTAATAAAGCTCAACATCCATGTCACTGTGATGTGGCATGCACCGCCTTTTATTCTACTTGCACAGCAAACCCTTTTTTTTTTTTTTTGAACGACTGGCAAACCCTGATTTTTGTATCATATGCC